ATATATATATGCATTTTGAAATTACAAAAAATCATAAATTACTAAATCAATACCACAGAATTTCACTATAATCTATCAGGCTTAGTAACTAAGCTGTATTTGGGTCTGAAAAAATATGATTTTTCGAGCTCAATAATGTCCTAACTTACCACTTGAAATAAATCATGGAAAGAAAGGAAATACTTCACTGAGGATCAAAAAAAACCATATGAGGGAAATTGCAAGCTTTCAATTGGTTATTCACATGTCATAGACAAAAGTAGGTGTATGTAAGCAAATATTTCCAAAAATGAAAAAAGGTGGGCGGAGCCACTGCGTTTGATTCAATAAATGTAGAATATCTCAGCAAATAGAAAAGATAGGAGGTTTTTATTTTATATTCTATCTTGTCAATATAAGTAATTTGAGCTTCTAGTTTGTAAGAAACTATAGTATTTGGACACCACAAACATATAATTTGAACCAATGATGCATTCAACGAAATTCAATATTTAGGAATTTTATTTATATCTGATTTTAAATTAAGAAATTAACTAATGTATAATATTAACATTTTAATTACAATCTACAGTTTTATACCATACTTATTGACATACATTCATAAAACAGTAGTTTAATAAAATTTTGAATGTAAGTCTATAAATGTGATGACATGGCCTTTGACCCAAGACCATAGGAAAAACTATCTCGGTAGGGTTAATTCCACAAAGAGTGAAAGAGTAAATCCCCAATATCACTCATTACTGGAAAGCATATTCAAGGAGGGAGAATTGGCTGACCCTATTGTCGTCCTCCCTGTCAGACATCCCAGGAGCAGGCATGACAGAATATTTCTCGGGTGGTGGTGAAGGTTGCATGAACATTTCTCGTCAAATATTTGCTGTCACCTCATCGGCTGATAATTGGAGTACTCAACTCAGTAGCATTAACTGGGAAACCTGCAGCAGCAGTAACAGCTGAATTAGTTGTAACTACCAGAAACTGCTAGTGCATAGTGAGAAGTCGAAACTTGAAGCAAAAAACAATAAATGAAAAAGTAAGAAAAGTTGGAAAAAGCAATGTTTCATAACTCAAAAACGTGATAAAAGTAAATATATATTTTTTGTTTTTATTTTTGAATTTTTGAGCAAAGCTACACGAGGGCTATCTGTGCTAGCCGTTCCTAATTTAGCAGTGTAAGACTAGAGGGAAGGCAGATAGTCATCACCACCCACCGCCAACTCTTGGCCTACTCTTTTACCAACGAATAGTGGGATTGACCGTCACATTACAACATCCCCATGGCTGAAAGAGCGAGCACATTTGGTATGATGGGGATTCGAACCCTCGACCCTCAGATTGCGGGTCGAGTGCCCTAACCACCGGGCCATAAAGATATATTAAAGAAAAACTTCGACAAATCTGCGAGTAAAACAAGCAGGTCTGTAAAGTATTACTGCCAATTAAGAAATGATTAACAAGTGCAAATGTGGAGAGCACTGGTTACAATAAGGGTTGTATCGTGCTCATATTGATGGAGAGTTACTGCATGATCACTTACATGTGGATATGGAGGAGCAGGAGGTGACAGGCTGATGGTGAGCATTGAAAATATTTGGCGATAGAGGGCAGTACTTATCTAGAAAAGCTAGTTTGTGAGAGGAGGTAAGATATGGTATCAGAAACTACATTTACATAATAAACCGTATTAAATATAATTAGAAAAATTACTTTACTTGGAGTATAAAGAAAAATACTTGGTTCGCTTAAAAGAAAGGGAATCTAAGAATTAAACTTTAGTCTTGCAACTCCTTTCTAATTGTTAGCATATTCTATCAAAACCTACCTATTGGGTCAACATGAGTCATATGATCCACAAAATCTCTCTTTCCAAGGTACACTGTGATCTGTAAAAATAAAATCTTGAAAATCCATAATAAAAGCACTATCATGAAAAGTATTAAATATTATAACTTGTAGTATACTCTAATTTTTAAAATATGGACTTTATTTTGCTAAAAGTTTAAAAAGAGAATGTAGCATAATTTGAAATATATAAATTTTCAAATTAATTTACAATTTCTTGGCTTTAATTAGCTCATGAAGCTTTCAGATGGAAATGGGTGAAATAAGGCTTTATTTAACGGGAAATATTGAAAGGTATATTTATGTATTTCATTTAGTACTTGCAAATGGATCTTCATTCTCAATGTGTGCATTGTAAACGAGGAAAAAGATGAAAAGAGTAATATTTCCCTCTAATTTATGTGTTTAACATTATCTTAGCAAATTACTAAGGTTTAACATTGTGGAACGATAGAAATGTTACACAAATCATTTTCAGCTTATTTTCTCTCTTTACGTTGTGATTATTTCAGAACTGTATGATGGCCCACCCCTTAAAAAAAAGTTCAAATAGTACCATATGAATTATCTTAGATGCAACATCTAAAACTAACAAGGGGATTTGTTTTTTACTGTTGGTCTTGTGACTGTTGTGTATTTTTATTAAACAAAGAACTATTGGAATTGCTGTAGTTAAATGTTGCAACCCTTATCACAAATACTACAGCATCTATGAGTCATGATCTTCCTAAATTTTGATTAAACAAACTTTCAAATTCAATGGAGAACATTGAATACTTTTTAAAGATGTATTATATTATCCGTAGAAGCATGACTGAAATGATACAAAATATTACTAGAATAACTGAAGATAGAAAAAAAAAAGTAAAATACAATGAAATGAATATACACCAAGTACAACAGGCTATAAACATAAATTCCTTGAACCTAAAAGTCAATGTTAATATCAAGGGGAATTGTGTAATAATATGTTTAAAAAAATAATTCAAATGCAAACACTTTTTGTACAAACTTATTTTTTAAACATTAAAAAACAATATTCTAATCAACCATGCTCTTTTTTTGTGTGTGTGTGTGTGTGTGTGTGTGTGTGTGTGTGTGTGTGTGAAGACTTGTTGCAC